TGCCAACGGAACAAGGTCGATTGCAAACACAAGCCTTTTCGTCTCGACATCTGCTACCCTGATAACTCATCTCCACAGCTGCGCTTGACTATTCTATTCATGTGCAATGCAGACAGGATAGAGGACAGAACGCAGCCTTGGCAGAGACCAGCGCCAACGCTGAAAGGTTTCGATTTAACACCATTCATTTTGATGCAGCATCTCGCCTCAGCTTATAGTGACAGTCGCCCGTAGCAATTGGCCACCGATCCCATATGATCGAAGGCACGCCCATAGATTCTTGCGCGGGTTCTGGTCATAGGCTTTATCTAGGTTCACGAAGCACATATGTATCGAATGGGTGAATTTCCACGATTTTTCGCGAGGGCCAATATCTGGTCAGATATGCTTCGGTCTGACCAAAAGCCGCACTGATTTTCAGTTATTCCGCGGTACCTTCTATCTAGCACCTTTGTTTAAGCGTTACCCAGGAGGCTCATAATGCACTGCCCCGGTAACTGGAACATACGTACGTGATGCCCTTATAATCTCCGTTTTTGAGTAGGTGTACTATAATTTCAGTTCTCCAGTCCGTAGGTGTCTTTTTCCGCAGCTGTTGCAGTTTAACAGACACGTGTAAGCCAGCACGTTCCCTTTCTTCTAATGCTTTAAGTATTTCAGGGTTTATTTAATGAATTTCAGCAGCCTTTCGATTCTTCAGACTTTTAGAGCATCATCGAGATACTAATATCCGTTCTCCGCTGCTGTATATGAGAGTCTTCCTACGGTCGTTCGGTTTTAAGAAGTTCCTTACATTGCTTTCTCCATCAGAGAATAATATCTCACTACGGTAAGGGCGTCTCCAGGCCTGTTGTTCAGGATTCTTGGATTATCCTTCTTTTCATCACGGAGGCAGCGGAGAATCTTTCAGAGTACCTTGTTTGCCGTCCGGAAATTCGACTCTAACGCCTCACTGAACTTTTCCAAGGAATCGACTTTTTCTTCCGCTACTTGTTTTGCTGCTGCCTTGCGCGCTTCAACATGTCGAATGCGAGTTGAAGGCTTTTTGCTTTTAAGCCATTTCTTGAATGGCTGACGGCCGGTT